TCCTGTTGGACCTTGTAACTTGTGTTGTTCCCAAGCTGTTTTCATTGGCCTGAGCTCTGTTTGTATGCTCTCTTTGTTTGAATAAAATTACCTTACCTTTTCCAAAAAAAAGTCAATTAGAATAAGAGTTGTGTAGCGGGAGTAAATATATGGGAAGATGAGGTGCAATTGGTGGCTAGGTCTTTGGGCTGTGAGGTTAGTGGTTGTTGGTCTTTGGTGTATTTAGGTCTGCCCCAGAAGTGTAGCATTGTTAGGAAAGTGGTTGTGGAGGTTTCCCCTAGAGCAGGACAATTTGTGGCACTTGGTGGTGGAAAGTATTCATGGGATGGCAGTTAATGGATGTGATGCTGGTGTCGACCCTAGGGCTACTTATTTCTCCCCTTGGAAAGCCATTGCTGGAGTCTTGCCTTCCTTTCAGCCTTTCATCAGACTTGATCTGTGTTCAAGTAATAAAATTCTGTTTTCGGAGGATCTTTGGTTTGGGAACACCCCCCTTAAGGACAGATCCCCAGTAATGTATTCTCTTTCCATAGATAAATTCAAAACCATTTCCTCACTCTGTGTGTATGAGGGGACCTAGGACTTGGGTTTGAGAAGAGGGTTGAGGGAGTCAAAATTGGCTTGTGCAGATGAACTGTTCAGTTTTCCTAGATCATTCTTGCCCAGACAGTAGAATTTGGACAAAATCCTCAGTTGCAGAAACTAGGGTTTCAAGAGAGAGGAAGAAGAGAAGAGAAGAGAAGAAGAAGAAGAGGAAGAAGAGAGCGAGTGTCGGGAGGTGTGTTATTCACTGTTCACACCCTCAAAAGATTACTTTATAATTTGAGAAAATAATAATTTCAAGAAGGCCCCTATATGGGTGCCCAAATACTGAGAGTATAAGAAAGGAGAAAAAAACCAAAAACACCCGTCTAGCCATTCTCAACATCCTCTTCAAGGGTCTTCTCTTGCTCTTCTTTTTTCAATGCCCTAATTCAGCCTTCTATTGTGCCTTTCCTTTTTTGCTAAAGAAGTGTGGTATTCTCCTGTTCCACCAAAGGTTAGGGCTTTTTTTCTGGGAAGTTGCTTTCCAAAACATCAACACTATGAATGTATTTCAAAGAAAAATGTCAGATTGGTGCCTTTCCCCACATGTCTGTTGCCTTTGCTTAAGAAATGGTAAGACAATGACTCATCTTTTGATTTCTTGTCCTTTTGCTTCTTATTTGTGGGATTAGTTCTCATTGCTTTTTGGTTGTAGGGTAATGTGGAGAATAATAAGAGCAGCCGTCTTTTGGTCGTTTTGGGAAGAGAGAAACAATATGATTTTCCAATGGCAAGAAAAATCCAAGGAAGCACTTGTTGAGGTCATTACCATCAAGATTCTGCATTGGTTGAAAGTGCAACAACTTTTCAAGGACTTCTCTTCAGCTGATTTAGTTAGAAGTTGGAGTTCTATAGCTGTATCCTCTCCCTATTCCCTTGTAATTCAAGAGGAAGGAAAAGTTTTGGGGGTGTCTTCAGAAATGAGGAAGGAAAAGTTTTGGCCTTTTACTTGGGCTTGATTGGGGTGGGAGATTCTTTGAGGGCAGAAGTCATTGTTACTCCAAGGACTGAAATTGGCAAAACAATGGGGAATGCAGCACTTAGAAGTGGAAGGAGACTCCAAGCTGGTAATAGAGTGGATGCAATCTAGAAACTTGGGAGTATGGTCACTTAACCTCTAAGAGAGATTATTAGCTTAGCAAGGGAACTTGGGTTTCAATTTAATTGGGTTAGAAGGTCAGCAAATGGAATGGCTGACGCTTTAGCTAAGCAAGGAGTTATTAGGGAGGCTTTCTTTTGGGCTTGTTTGTAAGGCTTTTGTTCTGATTTTTCCGCCCACCCTATGGGTGGTGATAACTGTACTCTTTATTTAATATCATCAATGAAAGTTACCGTTTCATATAAAAAAAAATTTGAACTTTGATGGCAGCAGCATGGGTAATCCCGAACCTTCTGGAATTGGGGGATTGACAAGGAATGGGAATGGATCCATATGTGCAATTTATACGAGTCCTATAGAAGTAGGTAATTCAATAAGGACAGAACTTTTGGCAGTAGTATTTGGGGTGCAGTCAGTAACCATCTTTCACTAATATTTATCTATAATCTTCATGAGAAAGCATTAACTTCATTTTAGAACATAGAAAATCAACATATTCATGAGAAGAAAAAGAAGAAAGAAAATTGAGAAAATATAAGGGCTATGTTCTTGTTTTTGTCCTAAAAGAAGAACATGTTGATTGGACAGTTTTAAGTTCTTCCTTGCTTTTTGGTTCAGGTTTTGACTTTTGAAGTCTTTGAGGGTTCAAGACAGCATATACCAACACTGTGTGTTGATTGATGTCTATTTTATTGTAATAATCTCACAAATAAAGAATATAAAAATATTTCACATTGCCATGTACAGAATTTCTAGGTGTTGAAGTGAGGCGAACTTCTATGGGCACCTTGTTTCCTAGGCATTGCGCCATCACCTTGACAACTATGTTTTTCTGCATTTATAGTCCCCTAAAAGATATGAGTTCTGTTCACCCCTTGTTTGGCTAAAGAATCAGCCAAACTATTTCCATGGTCCCGGATTGTTGTGTCTTAAGCATATCACTGTTATGCACGAGTTTCCTTCTTCCAACGTGATATCCATTAATTTTGAATAACCAATGGGCTTTAAATAAAAAAAAACAATGCTGATAATTCTGCCTTTAGGGAGTTCAGCTATTGGGCCTGAGTGTACTGCCAATGTTAACCCACTTCCATCTCTAATCACACCTGCCATGCCTTAGTTGCATGGATTCCCCATTTTACTTACATCACAGTTCAATTTTAGTTGATTCATCTCAGGAGGTCACCAAAAAAGAAAAGCTGATGTCCTTGTTGAAGATGAGTTTAGGGAGTTCAGCTATTGGGCCTGAGTGTACTGCCAATGTTAACCCACTTTCATCTAATCACACCTGCCATGCCTTAGTTGCATGGATTCCCCATTTTACTTACATCACAGTTCAATTTTAGTTGATTCATCTCAGGAGGTCACCAAAAAAGAAAAGCTGATGTCCTTTTTGAAGATGAGTTCGCGATTTTGTTCCAACCCCTTATTATTTCTCCTATTGAGGATGGTGCAAAGACCCAATGGGCTACCTCAGTACCTTGCACACAATATTTTCCATTAAAACCTCCTTGTGAGCTTATTCCTTGAACGCCTGTACTTTCCTTTTTCCCATATGGTCCAAAGAATTGCAGCTTTTGAGCAGCTCCATAGTAAATCAGAAAATATAGAAAAAAGAAAAGAAATAAAGAAGAATGGAAGGTTTCAGCAAAAGCTTGTGGAAGAAGAAGAGGAAGGAAGAGAGAGAGAGAGAGAGAGAGAGAGAGAGAGAGAGAGAGAGAAGATGTTCAATCCTTTCTCTAGTCCCCTCAAGATGTCTTTTATTTCTTAATGTAAAACTGGGTACAATTCCTCATATGCCCTTAGTAGGGCGGTTAGCACTAAAGAACTAATAAAATAAACAAAAAAGGCCCATAACTAAAAGAACATAAACTTAAAAGTTAAAACATAACTTGAAAGAAATAGAACCACTAAGGCCCATTCGGCCTATTCTCACTACAGAGCAGTGGTAGGACAAAATCTGTTTAACCAACCCAAAATGATTGGGACCAAGACTGATTTGAGCTGGCAGCGACTCTTGGATACTAATAAAAGAAATGAACTCCAGGAGTCTTATTTGAAACACAATAACATGATGCTTCTTTATAAAAAAATTCTTGAAATATTGTATTCTGATGAATCTTTAGATAGAAGAAGGTTGGGAAGGGGTGCCTTGTTGTGGGGGGCCCCAAGTCCAGGGGTAATTTTTAAGACTGTAACTCTGTAGTATCAGTCATGGCATAGTCAGCTGTATTCTGTTTTTGTGTCTCCATCTTACTTTGTTTTTGGGGAGGTTAAAGCTTTTTTCATGATCATAAAGTAATAAAATCTACTGTTACTGATAAAAATAGAAAAATAACATTGTATTCCGATAATCCCAATAGAAGAACTGGTGCTTCAGCCAAGGTTCCAAATATCGATACAGTTTGATTCCCTGGATGGGGCGTATCAGACTTTTCAACAGCATGCTTCATATATATATATATATATATTTTTTTTTTTACTTTTGTTTTATTCAAAACCTGTTCAGGGGGATCGGTCTAAGGCCTATCTATCTCCTTAAATAGGTTAAAACTCTAAAGTCCCAGAATTTCTCTTATTGGTGACCCACTGATACGATATGTATCGGCTGATGCAGGATGATACATTGCAAAATTTTGATCCTTGGCTTCACCTTCCATATGTGTGCCCTTCCCAGGCTAAATGCATACCATGACTTACAAGTTACCATGAGGTGTATATTTTATTCAACTCATGGCAACTTTTTGAACTAGAAGCAAGACTTTCAATGTTGGTTTTGGAAATTATAGTCCTACTTCTAATCAAAGTTGAAATAGAATCATAAACTATTGAATTTTCTTCAAAATTCTATAAGATTAATGGGCGTTTTATAGTCAAAACTTGAGATCTCACAACTTCCATAGTTGCTGACGATCTAAATATCATCTTGAAATATTAGTCTCTATTGAAATTCTAAGATCTTGACTGAGAGCCATTATTTAATCATGTAGCTTATGTTTTTTTTTTTTCTTTTTTTTTTTTTTTTTCCCGCTGGGAATGGGGACATCCATCTTTACCATACTCCCATGCTAGGGGAAATTTTTCTTTGTTTCTTCATGAGGTCAACTTTTGGCACAAATCAACTGATGTGGTCTATTTTTAGTTGCCACTGGATGTTACATATTACTTCCATGGGGAGAGCATGTTTTGTGGTGGAAAGATGTTCCATAGTTGCAATAGTTGCTTATTTTCTTCTCTATGTTGACTTTTTATTTACCAAAGATAAAGCATTTGGTACTACAATTTTCAATCTTACATTCTCTGATGCTTTGTGTAGGTGTTACTGATCATACGGTTTCTACAGCATGAGCACCATCTTGGCCGGTCTATTAACCAAGTAAGTATTTAAACTTTTAGTTGGATATGACATAAATAATATGGAGTTTCTTTTATGCAAATGCCACATCTGGACAACCTTATCCAAGTTTGATGGAAATTTGAATTTAATATGTAGACATCAAATTGATACTTCCCCCGCTCCCACAAAAAAAAAGGAAGAAGAAAAACTTATCCATATTTACTATTGTTGAGAAGCCCTCCTTTGAGTGAGCTTTTATAGATTATGTTCTTGCAGATTGCGGTTATTAGGGGTTAGATAAGGGAAGTGATTTTGGCATATTCTGTTTTGATAAATGAGGTACACTCCTAATGATGAAAAAAGAAAACTTCATTGGCGAAAAGAGAAGGAAGTCTTGAGAGAATACAAAGTCTCCCACAAAAGGTACAAAAAGGAAGAAATTAAAGAAAACATAAGCAGGGAGCAGGAAATAAAGGAACCAACTCAGCAAGTCAATCCCAATAAAAAAGTCAGTATACAAAAACAAGCCCAAATTCATCAAAAAAAAAAAAAAAAAAACAAGCCCAAAGCCCCCTAATAACATAGTGATTTAATAAAAAAGGAACTGAGAAATGTTGCATTTTATTTTTGATAGGTAAGTGAAAGTTTATTTATTAATGAGAAAAAACAAAATATGTACAAATTCACAGTTACCTTTCTATGTACAAATGTTATATTTGTGCCCAAGAGAAATGTTGCATTTTGTCCAAGAGGGACTGATTTGGGCACATCCCTTGATAAATAGGATGGATCCCCAGTTAGAAGAGGTACCTTGCTCATAATGATAAAAAATTAATGCACAATATTCTTGTCTTTTAAAACATGTACAATTAATAATAATAGTAATAGTTAAAGTCATTATTATTTGTGGGATATGTGGCTACTGTTATAAAGCAGCAGATTCTGACATACTCAATGCCTTAGATCATACCTAGAAATTATATTCATCTTTTCATTCCTATCATGTTTGTTTTAAATTTTCATTTGTGTGTTTCATATAATTTATCTTGCGTTAACTTTTTTATAAATGCCTTGCAGAACCTAGGAAGCCTATTGATGGACTTTCTCTACTTCTTTGGGTAAGTAGGTTGTGGACCACAGAGCTATATCAGTTCTTTTTCACCTATAATTTAAATTGTTCTTCAAAACTGATTGTGCTTTTCCATGCATAGTATTTTTCTATTGATAGCAAAATAGAAGAGCTTTATTAAATAGAAAAATGAGTATACAAAAAGGTAAGAGTGTTCAGAAAATATACAAAACAAAAACAAGCAGTGTCTCCCTCTATGAGGCTATACACTAAATGCAAAACTACATATTCTCTGTATGTCTAAGACCATATCATCTAATAAGGATCTTTCTACATCTCTAGATCCGGATGGATATCAACGAGGAAACCAATATCATCATTTTCTTTGAGAGTCCAGCTTCTCTCTTTCAACATATACTGAAAGGGATTGATCTCTGAAAAATCTTTGCCTTAATGTTACCTGAAAAAAGATGGAAACAAAGAAAACATTTTCTGTGAAACGGCAGACCTGGATATCTGTTTCTAAACAGAGGAAAGCATAAAACATTTTCTTTTCAGTTAGTATAAATTATACTTCACCAGTTCACCTTTAAAAAAAAACTATGTTTACCCCATTGGTATGGAGAATTGCTTAGCCATGCCAAGGGAGTTAAAAGCTCCGACATAAAAAAAAATTGATTAAATTTTTTAGAGATGGTCTTGGGACTATCCAAGGTAATATTTAGTACCCATAGGACACGGAGACTCCATAAGAGCTGTTAGAGTCGGCTGGACAAGGGTAGTACAGTCCTTTTATGTTTAGTTATATATGTATTGCTCTGCTGATGTGGCACAATGGTAATCCTTGTATATCTTAGAAGAGTATAAATAAAAGAAGGGCCGACTAGAGGTTTTGAGATTTTT